GATATTTTGCTTTTGATTACTTTGGGTGAAATATGTCATTTTGCGGTATTCCAAACAATTCTGTACTATGTAATTGTTTCCTTGTTGACTCAGTTGTTCCTGCTGCAATTCTCTTCATCTGCACCACAGATGGTTAGCACAAGCTGGAAAATGAGAGACTTTGGTGCTTAAGTGTTGTCAGCTCATACTATTTAAAGTTGAGGTCTTCAGTGGCCCTTGGAAAATGAGCATGTAATATTAAATTCTAGGTTCTGCATATTGTTCTGTTTTACTAGAGGATGTGCGGTTGGATTCAGCCAACTTTCCATCTGGCACAATCTTCAGATTGTGTGTAATGGGATAACGGTAGGTCATTATTCATATTGGACTGAATGGTAGAACAAAAAGCAAAATTAATAAGCATATTGATGGTAATCAGATAATGTTCCCAGTTGACCTAATTTCAGGCATTGGGATGGAGTCTCAGGTAGTATATTGTTACTTAGGTTTCCACCTGTTGTGGAAGGTAAATTTAGATCACCACCTAGTTCTTAAGTAAACTGTCTCACACTGTTGATTTCTCAGTTAAATGATCAACTCTGTTTTCTAAGGATCATTAGATTGAATTTAATTAAGGATACCTAACCACTGTGAGTACTTAATCCTTCTATGTGAGTGGTTACCTACTATGATATCAATAGCTAGGAATAATAGTGATCTAAGGTGACCTTGTGACTTGATAAGGACAAAGGCTTATCATGTAATAGTAGATAATGGAGTATTCTTGGGAATCTCTAATGTGATGAGAACATTATTATTCTGCCTTTGGCTGTCTTGATTTTCTTCTAAATGTGAACTACTATATTTCTGTGTCTGGACATTAGTAATTTCCTGTGCTATATTTTGCAGTATCAAAGTAAGATTTAGAAGCATGTGTTAATTTTAAAATTACCGTTTAAGAATCTTGTGTGTAGCACCATTTCATATTATAACAGCTTTGTAATTTAGAGGCAACTGTGAGGCCCAAGAAATGCATGTGGTGGAGATTCTGAGGAAAGAGAAAGATGTCTTCTTTTCTTCTCCTTTATGTTCTACTTAGCTGCATTTCTACTCCTTTCAGTGATAACGAAGATGTAGATATAGTGCAAGATACAGAAATATTGCTGTTTTCTTTTTTTTTTCCTATCTGCAGCTGAAGATGGGAGTTCTGTGTAGATGCTACATGCAAACTAAGCTTGTTAATGGTTGCACATCAGATCATTGTTCTGATAGTAGCTGTATTAAGAGATGTAAGGATAGCTTGAAACTAAAATTTTGCAGAGCTCCACATTTCCTCTGCCTTTTGCACAGAGCAGTTTTCTCCCTTTTTTTTTGTTTTAAAGCATTATGATACAATTGTTCTCAAGCCTGTCTTAATTTCTGAGATTATCTTCTGTCCTGTACCCGATCTCTGCGTTTTATCTGCTTCACTGAAGCTGTTAAATTTCAACATGTGATAAATTTGGGTGATTTGCGTAACCTTCTATGTACCAGTTCTGAATTCTGTTTGATGTAGACTGGACATACGGGTTAATTGTGTCTCTTGTTTCTGACTTCTTTTTTTGCTTTTAACTTAGAAGAAATTTTAGCAATTCTTCCATCTCCTTCAAGTAGGAGTGCAAAGAGCAGAATACATGAGAACAGAAATAGAGGTGGGAAATTGCTGCAAAGGAGAAATCTGGACCTCCACACTGAGAAAGTGATGCCTAGTTGGGAGAAGGGCTTAGGACCCCTTAGTTCAGAAAATTTTTAGTACAAAGCCTACATATCAAACTGTTGTGCCTCAGAAGGGCTGTGTGTATTGCACACCTAGGTAGCCCATGTGACTGACCTGGTAAGCTGGGTCCTTAAGCAGTTAAGGGTTGTAGGTTTAAGAGCAAAAGCAGAAGAATCTGAACCTAGGAAGTGTCCTGGAAAGGTGAGAGCAGTGGATGCTGCTGGAGCTTGTTTGGACTGAGTGGGTCTGAGAAGCAGATCAGTTAGCCTGTAGCCACCCACAGCCAAGCTGTCACATTCGCATTGAGCCTGACCATATCCATCCTCCCTGTCTTCTCAATTCTAGCATGGAAATACCCAATGATTTTGGATTCTTAACAGCTTCTGAGCCATAAGTACATTGCTGCATCCCTCAACCCATTCAGCAGAGTTTTGTACTTTCTAGTAGATAGCACAGTATCTATTCCAGAAAATGTTTTCAGGATGAAGTGTTACCTCTAGGCAGCTGCTGTTCTTATGAAGTGTTTATAAAAATGATGAACTTAGTTAAATACTCTTTGCTCTAATTAGAAATCATGTAACATTTTATTTTCCTGCTCCCTCACCTATGTTGTCAGTATTCTACTGCTATTTTTTTTAGTATGCCATGCTGCGTTGGACTGTCTGCAAAATAATAGCATATTGATAAACATAGTTAATTAGGGGCAGCACTTTATTTTATCTAAGCTAAGCTGTTCTGTTTTTCTCCTTTCAGGTCTTGGGCTGGATTCAAGTAAACTTCCCAGTCAATTGAGTTTCTCTGATTGGCCTGAAATGAAGAAAAAGTTTGCATCCATCTTTGCACAGAAGACACAAAGTGAATGGTGCCGTATATTTGATGGAACTGATGCCTGTGTGACCCCTGTTTTATCCTTTGATGATGCTCCCTTACATCAGCATAACAAACAAAGAAGTTCTTTTATCAAAAATGATCAGGAAGAGATAAGTCCTAGACCTGCTCCTCTTCTTTCAAGGACCCCTGCTGTTCCATCATTTGAAAGAGATCCTTTTATAGGCGAGCACACAGAAGAGGTACTTCTAGAATATGGATTTACTCAGGAAGAGATTGCAAAACTTTATTCTGATAAAGTAATAGAATCCAACAAACTAAAAGCTAATTTGTAATCTGATTATGCAAATCAGATGAACTTTGGGCTGATGCCGTAAGATTTAATGTACTGAATTACATGACAAATGAATATTTGTGTGCTGTTTTTTTTAAATGAATATTTTAAATGAAGTTTTAAATCTAATGGAAAATGCTGGGAGTTCTGTATTTGTGTACCTGGGTGGTTTGTGGTCTACGGTGACACCAAAAATGTGTTCTGAAGTTCTGTGCTGTTTGTCATAGTAAGCAGATGTAAGTCCTCAAAATATTTTTAGAATAGTATATCCTGTGAAACTTTCGGTTTATCTAATTCATAGTCAAATTGTTCTTTTGTAATGTATTCCATAATTAATTAAAGGCAAATCTGTTCTTAAAATACAGTTAAATGCTTACTAAGCAGTTGATTCTTTACTCATAGATTAATAGGGATCTTACCATATTGGTTGATTTACCTTATCATACCCAAACAATGATCCGAATAATGCTGTTTTCTTGTGTTGCTGCAGGGTTACTATGACAAAGTAATTGTATTTAATATCCTGTCTATGTTTTCTTAATACAGTCTCCTGATAGTATTATTTTCAGCTTCCCAGTTTGCCTAAAAAATAATTTCAGAAATAAATTCCTCATTATAAATATCTGCCAAATATTGATCCTTCACTTTCTTTCTGGAAAAATGAAAGGCATGGGTAGTTGCATAGGTTTTAAACAAAGGTTATACTGTAGTGGTTGTTATTTCCTTCAAAGTTAGTAATTTGAAACGTTCTTTTCTCCTTCAACAAATAATATACATTTAAAATAATTAGTTATATATGGATTTAAATATAATCTTCTTTAGTCCAATGTGTGAAGAATTTTGACACAAAGGGTTGTTATTTTAAATAATTTTGGTCATTTTTAAATCTTGCTGAAGATAGGCTTGTTGCCTGTGAAGATTTCCAAATCTGAGATACACTTTATTTTACATTTGTCATGGCAAAGTGTCTGTATTACTACTATACAAAGAGACCTTTTACATCCTATTGCACAAACACCTGCATGGAAGCAAGAATTATCTAGCAGACACTGACAGATTAGTTAACAATTATTAAAACCATTTTAAGTTTCCCATTTATAATCAGTTTGATGAATTAGAATATTATATACCGTTGCATTATCACAGATCCATAGAATATCTTGAGTCAGAATGGACCACAGCGATCATCGAATCCTTGCTCCACACTAAGATCTGAGAATTTGCTTAGTGTCATACGCATCTGATTGTATTGGAGCAGAGTAAATATAGCCAAGCATAATCTTCAGCACATTTAGGATCTGATCCAAAATTTGATGGTGTTGTTACAAAAATTGCCATTAACTTTAGCTGCCTCAGTCAGGTGGCTCATCTGAAGGGGTGGGATTTTTGGTATGTTGCTGTAGATTTCTTTAAAAGCTTCTGTTTGCTTTCCAAATATATGTGTGCCCAGTAAGACTTCCAAAAAGAAAAAAAAAAAAGATGTTAAGTCATCATGATACACTTTGCTTTTCAGAAATGAACAAAATAATCAGTTGTACTGAGAGTAGCACAGAACAGATACAAAAAATATTCACCAGTTGCAGTTTAACAGATTTCTGTCAAGCTTTTTGTTTGCTGTTGACACTCAGAACAACAATTAGGTCTACTTCTTCAAGTTTGTTGAAATTCTTTCCTGGATGTTTGCCTTTTTACGTCCCTGCCTGCAGCAGGTCAGCACTCTTGCTGAATGAGAAGATGAGATTTCCTCATTCTTGGTGGCACCATTGACTTGCAGCAGCAAAAGGAATGACTAGCTTTGTGTCAGGCTAATCCTGCATCTCTCCCATGTGATGTGTGTTCCCATTGTAGGCGTGTTTTGTGCTGCAATGGTAATTCTTTAGTCTGGGATAGTTGGGAGCTCTGCAAACGCCCTAGAGCGCAGAACTGCTAATGTTAACACAGTCTTCCCCGCCCCCTTCCTTCATAACTTGTGATCGCAGAGCCATGAAAGTATGCGAGTCCCTCCCCCAGAACAGAGCAATTGCACCCGGCATATGATCAGGGCTCCATGTCAGCCACACCAGGCAGCACTGACCTGCTCGAGCGCTGTGCATAGCCAGAGCAATGACCTTAACGGAACAGAGCTTTCAGGAGTCTCCTCCACCCCCTTCTGAGGTGGCTAAGGCAGACATGGATGTCTCAGGAGGGAAGGAGAAGGCTGTGCACCTCTCCACGGCAAGGACTGGAGTGCTGGTGCCCAAGCAGCGAGCAACGGGAAGGCTGATCATGCACAGCATGGCGATGTTCGGAAGGGAGTTCTGCTATGCCGTGGAGGCTGCCTTTGTCACGCCGGTGCTGCTCAGTGTAGGGCTGCCCAAGAACCTGTACAGCCTGGTGTGGCTTATCAGCCCCATCCTGGGCTTCGTGCTGCAGCCCGTGGTAGGTTCTGCCAGTGATCACTGTGCCTGTAGCTGGGGCAGGAGGCGACCTTACATTCTGGGTCTGGGCATCATAATGCTGGTAGGCATGGCTTTGTACCTCAACGGGGACGAGATGATCACAGGTAAGTGAGGGGAAAGCGCTGTACTGACAGACAAAACTCACCCTATGCTTTGAATTGGAAAGAAGGACGGGGTTCCTTTTTTTTAACCTGTCAAAATTGGGTGTTAAAATTGGGTATCATGCTATTGAGCTGCACTGAAGGAGCTTAGGAACACTGCAGTCTATTTACATTCAATCCTAATGCTGCGTGTTATGTATCCTGTACGTAATGTTCCACAGTTCATGCATGTGATTGCAGTATTATATATTGACCTCTCTGCCTGATCAGTTCATACAATAAAGAACTGCTTAGGGCCAGAGATGTATTTGATAACTAAAATTTGCCTTTTTGTGTTAAATGATGTAGTACACATCCTAACTAAATCTGTGTTAGTTCCTATTTTACATAAGTTGACATTCAAAACATTTATGTTAAATTATTGCAGCACTGGCTTGACTCAGGAATGTGTCATGCTGATGAATAATAGAAGTCACAACTCCATGGAAACAATGCACCTGGAATGTGCAAATCCAATAGGACTGACATCCCTAGGCACTGTTGTAGTTCAGCTTGAGATGTTACTTCTCAAAGACTTGGAAAATTGTTCCTGTTGTGACTGGTGGCTCCTCCTCAGGGGGAGGAGTGTGTTTTCACAGGTTGATTTGTTCTCTGTTCCTGGATATCATTGCTGTTGCATTTATTTGTAATTGTATAGCCAGGAAGAGATATTAGGCCAATCCTGATTGCCTGAAATTGTGGAATGGTGGGACAAACTGAATAAAACAAAAATGTTCTCCAAACATGTGTTTTAGGCTAACAGAGCATTCAGTGGAAGTGCAAAGGAGTAAGAAAAGTTGAATGATGCTCTTGACTGTGAAGTTGAGGATATTCAGAGCTTCAGCAGAACAAGAGGAAATGGTTTTAAGCTGAGGGAAGGGAGATTTAGGTTGGACGTCAGGGGGAAGTTCTTTACAGAGAGAGTGGTGAGGTGCTGGAACAGGCTGCCCAGAGAGGTTGTGGATGCCTCATCCCTGGAGGTGTTCAAGGCCAGATTGGATGGGGCCCTGGGCAGCCTGGTCTAGCATTAGGTGGGATGATTGGTGGCCCTGCATGTGGCAGGGGGGTTGGAGGTTCATGATCCTTGAGGTCCCTTCCAACTCTGGCCATTCTGTGATTCTGTGATTCTGCTGATCCATGGCTCAAAGTGAATCTAGCACAGCTCAGTGCTGCACAGACTCAAAATCCAGTTATCCCACTTCTCAGATGCCAATCTGAGTATCACTGGTCCCTCATGCATAGCTAAGCATTGTTTAGATTTGGAGGAATCTGGAAAGATAAAATGATGTTTTGTGAAACACAGCACTATTGCTGTCACAATGAGAGTCTTTTTGGTTTTGTAGCTTTCATCGGTGAAAGAGACAAGCAGCGGACATGGGCAATAGTCATTACCATGCTGGGAGTAGTGCTTTTTGATTTTGCAGCTGACTTTATTGATGGCCCCATCAAAGCATATTTATTCGATGTCTGCTCTCATCAAGATAAAGAAAAGGGTCTGCATTATCATGCCCTATTCACAGGTACTCATATCCCTTCTTTTCCTTCCTACTTAGAGGGAGGGGAAGGAAATTGCATGGATTTTGTAATCTTTGTGTACTAATCTTGAATGAACTGATCATCTGATTCTGTGCTTCAGTCACGGGTCTGTTGTTGCTGAGTTTTCGCTGCTACAGAAAACGGCAGCTTGTGGTTGCTGCTGCAAGATCTCTATTGCAGAAGCCTACAGGCCTAAGCATTTACAATAAAATAGCCGTGACAATTAACTATTATATAAATAAAGTAGTATTTATTCTTTTTATTTTGATCCTCAAGTTTTGATGAAGACAAAATTAGGGGAAGTGACTTAATTTCTTGCCATAGTACTTACAAATAAATAACTCTTTTACTCAGCTCCTGACAGAGAAAGTACAGCAGTGCAGCCAGCATCCATTCTTCAGTGGTGGCCCTACATTTGGTGCCTTCCAGTACAGAAGTTCTATGTAACATTCATAGCTTCACGACTTCCACAAAATAAGTTCTGGCTCGAGCTTCATTTGGTTGCCTTCAGACATCTGTAATGTTGCTGAGCTACAGAGGGAAAAAGCTCGCTCAAAACAGAAGGCTTTGTCCTGTATTTAGAAAACACTCAAGGAATGCATGTAAAGCTGTGTACTTGTTACGTGACTCAGGAAGTGCATGGGACCACTCCCAGCTGTGCATGGGACCAGTCACTGTGACAGCACTGGACAAAAAACAGGCAAGATAAGAAGTCATGCCTGTTCTGATGCAGATTTTTGTGGCAGCTGAGCTGTAGCAAGAACAGAAGCACATAGGCTCTGTGGCAGTGATCTGCCCTGCCCTCTGCTCCTTGTGAGGAGCTGCAGCTACCATGAGGCCTCTGCTCAGCTCCTCTGCTTTATGCCCAGCACACCCAGGGCCCTCAGCCGCCCCTCGCACATCTAGTAGAGCATAGTGGTACCAACAGTGATACACAGTAGTACTGACAGTGGGCTGACTTTGGATATTTGAAATAGCTGCATCCTGGAACCTGGGCACAGATTCTAGGGGAAGCTGAAAGCCATGTGGGGTTGAAATGAGTTTTAGCCTTTAGAAACAGACACAAATTTTTCTAATCACTTGTTTGGACAGAATGAGGAGCAAGTTGCGAAGTATATTCCTGTCTACAGCAGAACTCTGCTTACCGTTCTTCCTATTAAAATTTTTTTTATTTCCATGTTTAGAGCTATGGATTGAACTGATTCATTTGTAGGGCAAGCTGCTAATGGGGGTGATGGCTGAATTGCATTAGATAGGGCAGACAGATTTCTCTATGTTATTTGGACCAACACCACATGCTTTCTGTAGCAAGGCTGTGCTTGCCTAAGCCCCTTCTGAATAGGTGATTGCCCAGCCCATTCCTGGAGCACAGAAACTTTAAGGCTGGAAAATACCACTAAGATCATCTTGTCCAACCATCAATCCACCCACACCATGCCACTAACCATGACCCTCAGTGCCACATCATCTGCATGGTTCTAGTTTTCAAGTCTGCCCATGAGAGTGATCCTACAGCCCTCTCGGAGAAGCCTGATCCAGCATTCCACTGGCCTTGCTTTTAAACTGCATTCTCTAAAATTTAATCATATTATCCATCTTCTACATTTCTGACATTTGTCACTCCTTTCTTCTATCTCTTTCAGACATGAGAAGCATCCTTCCTTCTTCATTTTCCCAGCTTCCGTTTTGTGTATTTTTCCACTATTTGTGTACTTTTCCACTATTTAATTCCTTCATTTTATATTAAACATCCTCAAGACTTTGCTCTTCAATCTACCTTCTCCGTGTTTTAAGTCTAAATGTGAAACTAGGTGGATCGTTGTTATAGCAAGACGACTGAGACAAAAAGTAGATACATGGTACATATCTGACACAACTTGCAGGCTGTGCATTCCAATGCCACGATTATTTTTAGTCAAAACAATATGCAAAAAAGACCTCAAGCATCAAACATGAGCTGCAGTGCAAACATTGAGTGTAGGTTTTCTTCCAGAAGACATTAACTGCTTAATTGTTCTTCATTAAAACAAGCAGTGATACAGGCCGTGTAGGATTCAGTTAGACATAACAAAGGAGGGCTGTAATCACACATAAGAGGAAAATAAGTACAGAAAACCCAGAATGGAATTACAATACCGTGGTTTTTAGGTGAGGGAAATGTAAGCCTTGTTTTTCCTGTTTCTTTTTGTTGCACAGAATGGTTCCACCACATGTTGTCTTCAGTTCCCTGAGCAGAAGGGTAGAAATACATCCAATCCTTCAAATGCTCTGTGCTGGGCCACTTCTCCATCCTCCTGAGTGACCAAAGAGGGCAGAACTGGACAAACACTTTCTCTACCAGAGCCATGTGCTGAATGCAGCACTGTGCTCTTCCTTGTGCCTCTCAAACTGTGTGCACTATCAGCAAAGAAAGAAATTGTTTTAAAAAAATAAATAAATAAAAGAGAATGAATTAATCTTTTATTAACTCTGAGACATAGAGGCGTCTCTCCTAGTGGAGAGATTCTTGGATTTCAGGGATTACAAAACCCTATTTTTAATTTTTGTCCCTTTCAAAAAGATAAGTCACGTGGAAGCAGTATTTCTGTCTAGAGTCAGCTACCTAAGGTACAGTTTACAAACCCTGCTTGACATAATAGAAAAATAGTTTGTATTTTGTAAAATAGTTTTAAAAAGCATATTCCAGTAGAGTTTTGTTTCATATTATTCACTGTTTCAGAGAAAAGGCAGCCTTAAGGAAGTGTTTCTGAGTCCTGCAGAGTATTTGCTGGAAAAAAGATGGAGTTCCATGTTGCTATATTGCTATATATTGAATCTTTTTTGAGAGCTCCTGCACAGCTCTCTCCAGACCTGAGCATATCTTGTTTCCTATTTTGATAACTGCTTGTATGTGTGATTACCTCTGAGTTCCAATTTCTTTTGATTCTTCCTGAATATGCAGATACCTGAGGAGTGAATGTCCTGATATCTGAGGAGTGGTTATTCAGTCATTTCCATCAGGAATCACACAATGAGCATGGTTGGATACTGTTTATTTACAAATGCCAGTAGATTTTTTTTCACCCTTTTTCTCCTTTGTAGGCTTAGGAGGAGCACTAGGCTACCTGACAGGTGCTGTGGACTGGGGTGAAACTGTACTAGGATACACCTTGATGTCAGAATTCCAGGTGATTTTCCTCTTGTCAGCCTTGGTTTTCCTCATCTGCCTTATTGTACATCTACGCAGTATTCCTGAAGTCCCACTCAGATATGACAATGAAGAGACAAAGCTCTTGTTGGAAGTGACTGAGCCCTATAAGTACAGCTCCATAGAGGAAATCAAGAATGGATACTTGTCACATACTGACTTAAATGCTACAAGTAAGCCGAAGAAAGGTGCTGACACATCGTGTACAGAGGTAAGAACAGAGACGATTTTATGACCCATATCATTTCATTATTGAAGACCATCAATAGCCTTTTAATTAGCTATTGCTGGCTAATTGAAATAGAGTCCTTTCACACACGCATTCAGAAAAATATTCCCTCTGGATTCTTTCTTCTTCTGACCTGGAAAAAGGGTCAGATCAAAGTCTTTCTTTTCTCTTCGGTTATTTCCAGCAAGTGGGACAGAAACAAACTTGTCTTGATGCTCTGGCAGGGTTGAGGGAGAGCCAAATACAGTTTTTGACTCTGTGTCAGTTTCTTCGTATCCTACCCATCTGAATTTTGTCAAGAGGATCTAATTTCTCTATTAGTACTTGTAGAATTAACATCACATTGTGGACAGGAGCTACAGAGCATTGATATTTGATGTAAGTCTGTAACTCCCATTGAAATTAACGTACTAATACATTTAGTACTTGAAAGTGTTCAGTCTATGGTCCATTGGCTGCCACTTGGTGTTTCACTGAGGATTTATTGATGATGCTGAATTGTCTGAAATTGCCTAAGCAACAATACTTCATCACTTCTGGGGTTTTCATTTTATTTTGAAGTGTTGCTGTAGCTGTGCCTTTGGCATAACTTTGAGATGGCAGAGAGGAACTTGTACTTCAAATAATCAGTGGTGTTTGTTTATTCTTTGATCTTATGAGACATTGCTGCAATCTAAGGCAGCTAGGAAAAGATGAATCCACCTGAAAAAAATCTGGAGAGACATATGTAGGATAGTCTTAGGAACAGATAGTTGTTTTCACCACTAAATGTCATCAACAGGAATCCTCTCTGCACTTTCATGGTACCCTATTCACACAAAGGCTAATACATATGTCTGTATCCAAGCGTGGCAATGAATACTGGAACAGTTACCTGTTGCTTTAACTTCACTTCTTATCTTTTAGCATTATGAGGTATATATCACGGATACAAGTCTTGGGAAATCAGCTAAAAATTACCAAGAATGCTCAGGTAGTTAAGTTAGATATGATGGAAACCTAAAGTTTAAGCTACCATTACAATTGATTCATTGTCTTTTACTATTTATCATTTGTATTCTAATAGCATTTGTTACTTCTAAACCAAACAAGAATATCATCACACTACACGCTACAAAAAGCTGGACTAAAAGATGGGCACTGGCTGATGAGAATACCAGATGCACAAATAAAGCAACAGATTGTTAGCAGAGTATGGTTGGCACACTGCAGTGTGCTTCCTGTTTGCCCACCTGGCTTGGGGCACAGTAAACTTCACTAGCACTGTTCACTCTGATTGTCCTCTGAATTGTTGGAGATGCTTGGTTGCACTGACTGGCCAGCATGGGCTTTGAAATAAGGGAAAGTGAATGAAAAAGAGCCATCTCCCCTGCAGAGAGCATTCCTTGCAGGAAGCCAGGGAAGAGGAGGATGCATTGGGGTAGCCTTTGGCTTGGCAAACATCCTGTTGAATCAGTAACATCTGACACCCTAGGTATAGCTCTGATGTTCACTGTGGGCCAGTTTGTGCAATTGCCCTCCTTTGTGAGTTTTCAGTTGGACAGCCTGTCAGAGGTTTGCTGAGCTTTGATCTGTCTCATGTTCCTTTGATGTGTCCAGGCTTGGATAGATTCTAGACATTCTCACCACCAAAGTGTTCTGTCTCTTGTGGCACATGCTTTACAAGTTCATTCAATACTGTAATTGCTTTCTTGAAGAAATGGTTTGGTTTCCTGTTTCTCTGTGTCTCTTTTTTTATTTCACGGTGGGCATCATGGCCCTATTTCATCTAAATTAAGAAATATGCTCTTGCATACTAATAACTTCCATGGTTATTAATGAGATTTGATCCCTTACAGTATGAATAAAAATCCAAAGTTATTCTACTTCTGTTATTTGCTTTGGTGCAAAGTCACTGAGGATATGCTGTAAAACCTGTACTATGGATTCCTCTCTATCATAATAATCATCTTAGGCTTTAAGTTGTCGTGATTTTGTAGGGAAATGGGCTGGGTATTGTGAACTTTTGAAGGATAAACCACTTAGACAGAGGCAGACTTCAGAATTTCATTTACAAATAACAGTGTAGAATGTGTTTGCTGTTAAGTACTGAATGCATGCATTAAACACTTGTTTCCATTTCCACTTTCCAAAATATCTAAATAGAGAGCAAACATTCCCCTCTAGATGTCAAACTACCATTTGTAATTACAGCAGTGTTCCTTGTAGTACCCTGACATTATACTGAGATTAGGAAGACTATTTTAAATAACTCTGTGGAAGAGTTGAATAAATTATATAAGCTAAGGAAAAAAATAGTAATTATCCTTGAAATAATATTGATGAGTCAATATGAGATTTACTTTTATTATTATTATTATTATTATTATTATTATTTGTATAACTGTAGTAGAATTTATAATTTTCCCAGTTTAAAACACAGTTAGAGGAGACAGTGATGCCAAGAGAAATTCCAAGGGTTTTACACAGTATGCAGTTCAAGGCAGAAGTCAGCAAAATGAATTCCTATGAGGATTAAAATCCTCTCACTGGAGTAAAATATTTTCTAACTTCATACGTGGTGATCTTTCATAGAGCAGCTTGCAGCATAGCCTAGTTCAGAAGAAGGCAGAGCTGTGAAAAGTAACTAGAACACTGAAGGCAAGTAATGATGTACTGAGAAAAATCAAGTGATAGCAGTGATTGTTGTGGTTTAACCCAGCAGATGGCTGACATCACAGTCTTCTGCCCACTCCACTGCTTCCCAGTGGGATGGGGAGAGAATCAAAAGGAAAGAAAACAAAGCAGAACTCACGGGTTTAGATAAAACTATTTACTATGATAGAGAAAATGGAAAGGATAATAATGATGACAAATATATATGTGTGTATGAATGTATATAGCAACTCGTGCACAAGCAGCTTCTCACTATCTCTCAGCTGATGTCCAGCTACTCCATCAAGTGCAAGAGAGTGAGACAAGCTCTCCAGCTCCCTTCAAAACTCTCTCCACTTGATGTCGTATGGTATGGAATACCCTTTTGGCTGGTTTAAGTCAGCCTTCCTAATTCTGCTCCTTCCCAGCTCCTTGGGCCCTTTGCTATGAATGGCTTCGGCTCTGTACAACACTGCCTGGCAGCAACTATAAACACTGTGTGTTTTATCAACATTGTTCTTCTCCTAGAGCCAAAATAGCATCACACCAGATACTCTGTTGAAAACAATTCTATCCCAGCTGAAACTATGACACCGATGAATGTGATTGAAAAAGAGACTGAGGTTTTGAGCCTAAAGTTCAGATGAGGAGAAAGAGATAAAATAGGAAGATGGTCAGAATTTTTTTCCCAGTCAGTGAGATTTTTTTTAATTGTATGCTCATCAGGTTTTGATTTTGAAATGTGTTGTTTTTCCCACAAGATTGGGGATGTTCAGGTACTGGAGCCAGTATGGTTTTTGCTGCATCTCCTGTTTTGGATGCTACTACTTCTCCTGTTATGAATCACTGTCTCTCACTGCTTTTTGAGAGAGGATGCAGTCCATAGGGAAAATTTCATAGTGATTGTATACCAAAATAGGTGGAACACAAAATTTAGTAGGGAATGGAAACTAAGTATAAAAACTGCAGAATTCTACAGATGATATATTTTAATTCTGAGGAAATATTTTTGAGTTTCATTTTTTTTATGGTGGCTTGAAATCTGCAGTGGTAAGCTGGTTGTCCCCAGGAAGAAGTTCTTTTGGTGCTTATTGGTTTATTTTGGTTTGGTTTTTGAAACTCCACTGAACCTGTTTTGGCAGAAATTTTTGTCTTGGTACCCTTAAGTAATAATCCTAATGACTGTTAAGGCAGAAAATACCACTAAGATGTATCCCAGCTCTTGGAGAGTCCCTGTCATCTTTCAGATAACTTTATTAGGCAATGATTCTACAAATCAAATAGCAAGTAGCAACGTAGCAAAGGATGTTTAGCACCCAGCCAACCCATTCTAGCAAAAACAAAATAACTTTGGAATTTTAACATGAAAAGACTGAGGTCTTCTCTGCATACTGTCAGAATTTTATTAGCCTTAAGGGCAATAATACAATATTATTGTTAAATACTTGCTTTTAGGCTCAAAGGAGGATGACTCTTAAATCACTCTTGAAGACTCTTTTAAGCATGCCATCCCATTATCGCTATCTGTGTGTGAGCCACCTCTTTGGATGGATGGCTTTCCTGTCCAACATGCTCTTCTTCACGGATTTCATGGGACAGGTAAAAGTGAAAAATCCTCTTGCTTTTCTTTCCTCATAGCATTTCCTTCTCCACCAAAACCAAATGAAGGTATTGTTATGAACTTGAAGATATGATTCTGGCTCCCATGCAGTATTCCACATTTCCTTGCTTTAGAGTTTTTGGTTTTTCTCTCTCTGTGAAAGAAACAAGAGGTAGTTTTTGTTTCCTTCAATGTATATGAATAACTAAAGAAGAAAGAAATAGAAGAAAGAATTTTGCTTGCCTGGATAAGGAGCCAAATGAGGGATAGACCAAGTGGAAAAAATTGAGTGTGTGGGGGTAGGCCTGGAAAAAGAAATCATTGTAGCTAAGTTAGGAGTAAGCAGATTAAGCAAGAAGGCAGAAGTGGAGGGAGAAGGAGAATAAAAAATGAGAAACACCCAAAGAAAAAAGAGCAGATGAGTCCCTATAGAGGGGCTAACTCAGGAAAAAGTAAGGGCAAGAAATGAAGAAAAGCCTGGTATATGAGAGTCTGGGAGAAATGTGTGTGAAATACAGAGTACAACACAGAGATGATAAGGGCCCTATTTCAAAGATTTCCTGGGTGCTAGCCAGTCTTTCTGTACGGGAGGTATTATATATATGCAGTAATTCTTTGCCTTTTGTGATCTTCATGGTCTCTTTAGGTTGTGTACCAGGGCAGTCCTTATGCTTCTCATAACTCCACACTTTACCATACCTACAGAAGAGGAGTGGAGGTTGGATGCTGGGGGCTGTGCATCAATGCAATTGCATCCTCAGCCTATTCTTGTAAGTATCCAGGAATGTACTCCCACACTGTTGTGGAAACAAACAAACAAACAAACAAAAATCTCTTTGCTGTTCACTATTCCTTAAGAAAAAAAAAATTGCCAAATTAACTGTTGATGTCTTTGTTTTGTTTTGTTTTGTTTTGTTTTTCCCCACATGAAAATTTTAACAAGTACTACATTCTCAGCAGTGTTAGAAACCTTTATCTTAACATGAGCAATTCTTGCCTGGACAACATGAAAAGGGGTCTGTCTGGGAGATCAGCATTGTCCTTCATGTGGATTGACCCTAAGCGCCAAAAATCATTTTAAAGCCAAAAGTCAGAGTGAAATGGATGGTGTGGGCATCATTCTGAGATGCTTTTTCACCTAGCAGTCCTGTAGCTGCAGGTTTGCAAAGGCCCCTCTCTTGGCCTCTTGCCATCTGCATCCCTCTCAAATAAACTTTTTCATAATTACACAGAAGTCCTTGCCAAAACAATGGACCTTGTTCTCCAAAATCATGTGTAAATATACTAGCAGTCTTCCTAGATAAATCTTACCATAGCTCTTACTCAGGATTAAAAAGAAAAAAAAACTTACAATCCAAAAACTCGTATTAGTAGTGTTTTGGGAACTGAATTGAGCATCTGAAAGAGCTTGAGGGAAATCCCCTTTGGAGCTCAACAACAGGCATTTATGTAGCACCTCTCTGAGCTCAGAGGTTGATGCCAAATATTTTTATTGTAATTGAACAGCAGAAATGTCTGAAGTTGTCCCTGGGTAGTCCTTCCAGAATGGCTGTTAACTACTTCTCTGAGCTTGGTTATGCCAGAGTAAGAGTATCAGAAAAAAGCATTCTGCAGCAAATTTGTTAGCACAGTAATTTCAAGCAACTTTCAAAATCAGGAAGACCTTCCTCTTCACTGCATCTTACAAAACAGAACTCCTAAATGAATTCCCTGATGAAATGTTCCTTGTTCTGTTTAACTCTTGGCAACAAATTTTTTCTTTCTTTCCACAGACCTGCAGAAAGTCCTTCTGCCATACACAGGATTAAAGGGACTTTATTTCATTGGATACCTACTTTTTGGATTAGGCACTGGGTTGATTGGCTTGTTTCCCAATGTCTATTTCACTTTGGTTCTATGTTCACTTTTTGGAGTCATGTCCAGCACTCTGTATACTGTGCCATTCCAGCTCATTGCAGAGTATCACAAAGAAGAAGAGGTAAGTGAAAGTCTAAGGAAGGGTAAATTTGTGTCTGTCTGAATCTGTTTAGTCTATTTTGGCTGAACATTGGGTAGAAGGGGGGAATGGGTTTAAAATTATAAATTTGAAACTGTCTATGGTGACATGATATGAACAGAAAGTTTCTGTTAATAGAGATCTTTATTAAACAACACTGATATTATAAGCTGTGTTGAAGCTAGATGACAGCCCTCAGCTAAGGCCCCAGCGCCAGAGAGTCTCCATAGTCCCACATTAAGATGAAGAATAATAATCAGAACTGAGATAAGGCCAATTGCTGTATGTGTTCAGGCTGTAAGCTGCTTATAGAGATCCAGGCATGTGTTGCCTTCAAGGATTTCCTGACTAAGAATAAAATCTAACTTTTTTTGTCCTCTTTAAAAGCAAAGGGAGGGCTGGGGCTCAGTACAAGCAGCTGCTGTTACTTCAGAGAAGACGAGCTGGTTCATGTTAGCTGAGGAGCTGACTTTTCTGAGTCCCTGGGGTTAATAACCACCCTGTGAAGGCTACCAGAAGCTTTAGCTAACTGCAAAAAGTTACAAAAACCTGTCATCTAATAAAGATGTGCGATTCAAGTACAAAGAATTTCGTGTAGTTCTATAGTAAGTTGTATCCCATGTTCTTGTTCTTCTGGCATTCTTTTTGGTCCTTCATGTTCTGTTTGCAAAGGGAATCTGGAAAATCCTGAGTTGTTTCTGTCATGTTACTAGGCTCAGCTGGATCGTAATGTCTTGTAAGGTGTTGTAGTCTTCCATGGAAACATTCTAGCAAGTTAGTAAGAAAGTTGGAAACAAACAGGATAGAGGAGAATTGGAAGAACTAAGGAATGTGTCCAGTGACATTTGAAGAAATGAATAAAGAAAGCACTGAAACGCAACAAAAGATAGCTTAAACCAGCTATAAAAAACAGTTGAAATGGGACTGTATTAAGCCCTTGAGAGTACCTCCTTCTATTCTATATGATTTCTCAACACCACCATCTGAATGATGAACATGAGGAAACTCTAAATTAATCAAAGAATCCTATGAGGTCTCTTCAAGTTGATTAAATATTTCATAGATCTGCTTAATCATTTTTCATTTAATTTCTGTTTTTTCCAATAAGGAATAATTATGATGTAGAATTTCAGAAAGATTTTACAAAATGCATGTGTTGAACCCAATTTAGGATGACATCACAATCCTGACCTTGGGACAACCAAGAGAGAGGAGGTAAAGGCAAAATTACAGCCCAGTTCTGAATCAGACTTGTTCCAAAACAAAAGTGAAATGAAATACGCTGAAGTGTGCATGCACTTAAAATATAATAAGCTAATATCTTCAAATGCCATTTATAAGAGCACTTGGCAAATGGCCATGCCATTTGATAAATGACAATCATACGTTAAATCTGACATTAACAGAATTAGGTTTGTCTTCAATCTCCTATAACGTATGAGATGATAGAAAAAGTATGATAGAAAAGGAAGCATCAAGTGCAAAATTGCATTCACTTACACATTCATATTATTGTGGTTGGAACAACTGACACATAGGAATGCTGGGCACAGCCCAACAAAATAAATGTAATTAAAAAAACTGTGTGTTGAATTGAAAACACTGCATTATTTTAGAACAAAGAACAGACATCTTTCCTTAGTATGCAATCTACCAAAATCATATGCTGGGTTTTAAATTGCTGCCATTTCAGTTCCTGTTCCACACTGCCATTCCCTAGGACCCTAATTCATTTTCAGTCTTGCTGGATTAGGAAGGCACTATTGGCTTCTGCTGCTTTTCAGCTTTGTGTGGCAAAAGCTCAAAGGCAGTGTAACAGGTGTTGCAAAAACCATCCTAATCACAGTCAAGAGCATTTGGATACTAGGAAAGAGCAGCTCAGCTGGAGTACAGCATGGAAACTTTCTGCCTGTTACAATGCAAACCTCTCCAAGCAGCAGCAAGAACAATAAACATTTAATTATCATCATGTAATTATATTGTGAAACAGAATAGGTCTTTGTGGAAAGGATTCACAAAATTAAACCTGAGTCTGTATGGAACCTCCAGAGATCATCTGGTCCAATACCTCTGTGCAAGTAATGTCACCATGAGCAGGTTGTCCATGGTCTTGTCGAGTCCAGTTTTGAAGATCTTCCTGGTTGGAGTCTCACAGCTCTCAACAACCTGATTCGATGTTCTCCAAACCTCACGTGTGAGGGTGTATATGGGATGCTCATATACCATAAGTGAAGGCTTTTGCTCAAATATGTATGTAATTTTAATTTAAATCATTAACAATGGTGTTCTGTATGTAGAGGAATTTGTCTCTTCATTCACTTTCAGAATTTTTTTTAGCAATAAAGACATCACATTTAGATTTTAATACTGAACTCCTTTATATGCTCTGAGACATAACTTCGGAGCATCTAGTATAACTTCAGATCACAGAGCTCCATTAGAACAAATTATGACCTTTATATGTGTGGGATGTAGTATGATTCAGTATCCTCCCAAAGCTCCCCGTATGGTTGGACTTGACCTTGGTCTTTTCCATTTTTTTTTCCATTCCATTCCTCCTAGGTGATTCTGTGATTCTGCCATGTAAGAGCTGGAGCTAAAGTATTCTTGATGAGGTGTCCAGCCCTGTGAAATTTTCTTCTTGTTTTAGTTTACCAGAGCTCAAGTAGAGCTGTACTTCAAGGAAACAGTCATTTATTCTGATCAAGTTTCAGTTTTTTCCTTGAGAGAAGAGATAAAGTTGCTGATGAGGAAAACAGGACAATTTGGAAAAATCATTATCACTTGAACAGTCTCTGTTTGAATTTTGTAACCTCTGTGGGACAGACACTAAAACCAGAAAGGAAGCAGAGAGCTACTGGCCCATTTTGCTGCATGTGGATGTCATGGCATGAGGGATTTGGCTTGTGTCTAAGTCCTCTGAGTCTTGTTTTGTCTTGTTTTTATTTGCAGGACCTGAATCTGCAGCAGAAAGAACAAGGCATGGAGCATGGGAGAGGCAAGGGCATTGACTGTGCTGCTCTGACCTGCATGGTCCAGCTGGCACAGATCATTCTTGGTGTGGGCCTCGGTCTCTTGGTCAGTGTTGCCGGCAGTGCAGTCACTGTGATTTCGGCATCAATGGTGGCACTGATTGGCTGCTGCTTTGTGGCTTTTTGTGTTCGATATGTGAGGTAAGACTGTCTGAAACAATTGGAAGAAAAAAAAAACCCATAGGATCAGCACTGGTACTGTTGCCATGCTGATACTGCTGATGCATCCTCCTCTCTTACCTGCTTGGAGCAGCTGCAATTACAGAGCATCACTTAACCACAAAGTGAAGACTTGGTGAAATTGGTTGCCTAATGCCTCAGGTAGAAAGTTTCTCCATTCTGAGTGCTTTATTACTGCCTTCCTGCTGACCTCAGTGCATGAACATGTTATTACACTTGAAGACACATCTGCCTGTGGTATCTTGATGCCCTACGTGAGGAGCCATTGTGAAACTCACTATCAGTTTGTGGAAGAGAATAGATGAAGTATGTGTTGAATTGAAGAAGTTGAATTGAACAGAGCTAAGTTTAAACTTTTTTTTTTTTTTTTTTTTTCTTTTCATTTTTCTATTATCTTAATTTTGGGGATATTCCTTATGATGATCTAAAGTTGCAGAAGCATCAAGCAGGTGTCAGAGGTCATGTGCCATCATGTTGTATGGTTAGTATGTAGGTCACTCCAAAAGTAATGCCTCTTATCTATTTCCACAAAAGCTACAACAGATTCAAAGAGCACAATAACACTTTCTGATAGAGCAAATTCTCATCTGCAAAATGCCACCGTTAGCTATGTATTTTTGCCAGTGGTGAAAGAAGGTCTGCATTTACCAGTGGAGATGACCCACTGTTGCACCACCATGCCATTATCCTCTGTTTGATCTTCACAAACATTTAGCAAGTGTTGATGGATGTCACTGGATGATGTTTTTTCACACGGAAGAATGCAGTGGCACACCTTTGCTTCATCTGCACTTCCATGTCAGAAGCCGTTCAGTCAAACTGCCCCTCTGCTGCCACCTATTGCAAAGCAACTAAATGTAACAGAATATTGGTGGGAAGGTTCAGCCTCTGCTGCCAGAGCACCAACCTCTGACATTGTGAGCCAGTACAGTAAAATAGAAGGCATTACATTTGAAGCAGCCCTCATGCTATTGTTAAAGGGGATAAGTTACCTCCCTGCTACCATGAAACCCTGTTTGGGTATGGAAGGTGGCTGGAGTGTAAAAAAAAATTGAAGCTTATTGCTTAAAAGTATATCTGTAAAGTTACTGTTTTATTGTCTCCTGCTGTTTGTGTATAATTGAAATGATAGCATGACTGAGCTTGTCATGAACGTCTGCCTAAGGCTGCTCTGCAAATCTTTGTTTAGGCACCTACATAGTCGACCTATAGGAAACACCTGCCATTCCTTCTCCCTTAAATCTCTAGCTTCATGACTTCATTTATGAATAAAAAATAAACGTGGCCAAAAAAAAATTACATTCATGGTGGTACACAACTCAAATCTTGACACTGAATTTTACAATATTCAACTTATCTTATTTCTCTATTTTCCATTCATACATATAGCTTTGATTCATTTTTGTTCTTTACAGACTACTGTAAATTAATCGAGTTCTGCGAAGTCTATCATGAATTATGTACAAAGATACCTCTAACTTCTACCATAAATCCTGAAGTCTCCTTATTTGTATTTAATTGAGTATACTGAGCTTCATTCCTATGAAGTTTCTAAGTCCTGTCTGTGAAAATAGTATGCTATATTTATGCTGGCTTCCTCTATTCTGGAGATTATCATACCCATTTGCTACTCCTCGTGAAGACATCCACTAATGCAATATTATTAATGAATAGCAGTATGGAGAAAAACTGTTGCCAGCTAGCATTTTTGTTTCTTTGTTTGTTTTTAAACACAAAGTGCACATGTATGATCAACACCATCATCTCAGAGCTGATTAGCTCTTAGAGTAGGGGTATATACTATAGTAAAGAGGCAATGCTACATACAAATGGTTGGATTTGAGGGAGAGAACCCTTTGCACAGGTTCACCAACTGCAACCTTGTTTTTGTTTTCAAAACCACGGTGAGCCATTTATTCTCAGGAAAAAAGTATAATTTCTCTTACATAAACTTATAAAAATTATATATATAATATATATACTTACATATTATGTATATAATAACAACCCTGTGGAAACCTCAGTTGCATTCTCTTGGTGGTTGTATCTCCACTGTAGGCCCCAAGTGGGACTCAGTTCATGGCAGACCTTGCCTTTGTTCACAGCTCCTTCATCCGACCTTGTGAAGAATCTGTGATTCATGGCTTTTACTGCCTTGGGGTTCTTCATTAATCACTCTCATGTTATACCCATAGAATAGAAGAGATTGAAAGAGTGTGGCACAGGGCTGTGCTTGAAACATTCTGTGGGTATATTGTGTGGAACACAAGGGCACAACCAGGACAAAAAACAGGAGAAAGATGGATAATGAAGGATGGTTTTAATCTCAATTCACTTATTGCCATCATTATTTTCCATTGATGCACTTATCTCCCTGGGGGAGGCGATTTTAAGGAAAGAGAAAGGCTAAAAACAGGGAAAGGAGGAGATGTTCAGGACTACCAAACTCAAAAGCAGCATGTAGGCCCGTCTTCCAAGAGCTGAATATGAGCTACTATGTAATGCTCAATTTCTAGAAAAGAACTTTGCAGCATTTACTTACATCTTTGTCAATATTTTCCTTGAGGCTTAGTGCAATCAGAACATTGAAATTCGAATAGCTGTTGCTATCTCCACTCTCTTATACAAAACAAAAGCTGGCATTGATCCACATCCACTGAGTGACTGAGATCTATAGCAACATCAAAATCAAGAACCTGAAAAAAGAAGGGAGATGTTATTAACTTATATATCAATACTTTTATTTACAAATCTGTTCAGAGAATACTGTTCCAAACATTCATATCATTGTTCTCATTACCTTTCCTTTTAATGAAGTACAATCTATAAAACATGCAACAGAGTAGGTTTAGTTTTTCTTTAAAATTCTTCCTATATTTGATTCTAAGACTTAAAGTAACGTCCATCTTAATGTGTATTTGACGAAGGGCAAGACAACAACAAAAAGAAGTGCAATTTGAAAAACAGTATTTAAAACTGAGGATTTATGTAGGTGCTCATTCTAAAGCCAAAAATACCTTTCAGATATCACTGAAAATAATCTAAAATGTTGCTAATTCATGAGAAGGGAGAAAATAGGTATTTTTTTCAGCACTTGAAATATATTACAGGAACTGAAGAACCTCACTGTGGTGCTATTATTTCAAGAAGTTACGCCTTTTCAGTCTCTTTCTGTATTAGTTCAGGACTTGAAATGAATTATCAGTATATTCAGTTAAGGCATTTAGTATTAGCTTTTATTGCAGTAACATGAGTTCTGAAGTTAAATGGGGCTCACCTGATCTTTGTAGTTTTGCTTCTGTATACGTAAAACCAAATAAAGGTCTATGTTGTGTTTAGGCAAATGACGTACCTAGATGAAGATGCAGATGTTTTGCAATAATCAATCCCTCCTCCCTCCCACTTTAACAGAACTAGTTGTGGTTTAATGAAAAGAGGCAGGAAACAAGCATGCCATCTTATCTTCCCATCTCTTTCATTTTTCTTTCCCTTAGCAGTGCCTTTTATTTATTCCCATTTAATAAACCAGCTTGTTACTTAACTGAAATGTTAGAGGAAGTTTTGATTCTCTTCATAGAGTATCTGCAATATTAGAAATGTCAGTTACTTTTTTCTCCCCCAGTTTTCATCTTTTCTCAGTGATTTCAATAGATTTCTCTGACTTCAGAACTAGCAAACAAGGGGGTTTATGGGTGATAATTTCTCTGTTATGAATCATTAATACCTTTGCTTGGTAAAATTCACACTTTCAGCACTGATGTCTGCAACTTGTTACCAGCCCCTGCGGAATGTCAAAAGATAGGGAGAAAGTGGTGTAACTATGTGTGGCAATGATGTTTGATAATTCTGGGTTAAAAAATGAGTTACTTCATGCAGGAAGAAGGTGGAAGTGAAGTGAAGGATCACACTGTGATAAAGTATGTTCAAACTATTTTTGTCATGATAAAACTGTATGAACATTATGTACAAACCTTTTCCCTGTAATTTTCCAGCATTCATTTCTCATTCCATACCTGCTCCTTCTTTGTTCATTTAAGCAATGTTTGAAGCTACTTGTGCAAAATAAAACTCTGAAAAGCAATTCACAGTTCAGTTCTCTATAATGCTTTTTCAGTCTCATGTAAGCTTGTTTAGTTACTAAAAGTGTATTCATTAGTTGTATTTCATAAAGCTTTTTCTTGAAAATTAATGTAGTATCTCTCCTTTTCTACTCTTTTGCCTGTGTGTTAAAAATAATGACTTCACGTCGTGCAGATGCATCCAGCCAGAGAATACTGGCTTGTGTTGCTTTATGTAATTATTTGCAGAATTAAGGGGGGTGTTGGGCTGGAGGGAAGGACTGCTTTAGAAAGGAATTATCATCAAAGACGAGAATGCTCCGAGGGAGAAAGGGAACGGACCTGCTGTCTCACTGAGAATCGAGTACTTCTTTCCATCCCTAAGGCTGAGTGCTTGCTTGCCCCCCAGTGTTCAAAGGCATTATAGCACTTCTCTAGAGCTCAGGTGCTGCCTTTCCTTGCATCACTTTCTAACCTAAATCTCTCCTCTCTGTTTTATCCGACTGCTAAGTTTCCTTACAGAGGCACTGTCCAGCGCTCCATTGTGTGTAGACAACAAATAAAAGTTTTCTTGCTATTAGCTGTAAGCCAGCAGCATCATTCTAATTAAAATGCTGCTATATGGACTGGAGGCATTAGGAGCCATCCAGATGTTTCGCATCTCATACTAAAATTAAGCCTTTAGAAACATACTGCACTAAGAGTCAAAGCTGTGGTGTGGCTGTACCAATTGTATGGCAGATTAATTTTTGCAGCATTAGTTCCTAACAGGTAAGGTGCATTGTGTAGAAGGAACAGGACAAGAGGCAGTGTTACTCCCCATAACTTCTGCTTTCAGGGCTTCTGTTATCAATAAGTAAGGGGGGGACAAAGTGAAATATAGCAGAAATTTTACTGGAAGTCTTAAGCAGAAAGTCTTACTGGCATGAAGGAAAGGAAAAAGTTCCAGAAGTAATGCTTGTTGTTAAAAGCTGGGATCCAAAGTCTGGAGCTGCATGGCTGGAAGATCACAATATAAAGACAGATGCATCCCAGCTTGTTTCTTTTTTTTCAGTGCTGTCTTATTTTGGGTTTTGTTTGTTTATTTCTTTATTTATTATTTTCATGCAAAAAATGCCATCTTGAAATACAATTTGCAAGTTATGGGATTCCAGGGATTTTAAGGAGAGCTGAAACAACTGTTTCTTAAATAAGAGCTAATATTCCTACATAATGCCTAATCCCAA